TTTATAAAAAACGCCTTTAATAATCGTTTTTATTTTTTATGAGCAAATTATTCAATACGTTTTTTGCCTGGAACGCTTTTAATAATCCCTTATGAGGGGATTATTGAAGGTATTTTGTGCAAAAAACGTATTTAATCATCCTCTACAATTTTTTAGGAGAATTATTGAGAAAATGCCTTCAATAATTCTTCTATTTTTTATGAGAAGACTATTCAAAGCGTTGTCTATAAAAAATACCTTCAATAATCTCTTATCCATTTTTTATGAGAGGATTATTTAAGGTATTTTTTGTAAAAAAAAAATACATTTAATAATCACTTCAATTTTTTAAAAATGATTATTCAAGGTATTTTAGTCGATAAGCGCTGCTAATTTTTATCTTTAGTGACGTTTATAAGTAATAACGATACTATTTCAATATTTAATGACGTTTTAATAATAAACGCCTTAAATTTTATAAAATCACAGAAATTGACGATATTTATAAGTGAAAAGTCGTTATAAAATTGCCGCTAATACACCATTTTTTTGTAGTGATAGGAAGCAAGGAACTTGAAGAAAACAACAATAATATGACCGAACTGATGTGACACTAAACATATCAGGTGTCAGGTCAACTCAAATATCCAAAATGTCATGATATCTATTGACAGCCTCTAATAAAAAAAATCATAATGATTTTTTAATCACTAAATACTCTAAATAAAAATATATAATGGTTATAAATAATCCTAAAAAATAATAGAGAAGCCAAATCCATGTGTATATATATACATATATATATATAACAATTTTCTTTTGTTTCAAAGAAAAAATAGTTTATTGTGTGGCAAATCAATGATAAAGACTTATATTTTAAAATATCTAAAAAAATTTTAAGCAATAATCATTAAAAACAATTTTGTGATCATCCAATTGTATGTGAGAAATTCTTTCCAATGATCTAGAAAATACCATGATTTTGTGTTGATCAATTTCTCGCTTGCAATCTATTTTTATTTATTACAATATTCATAAAACATGCCTCAAAATTAACCCGTTTATACTTTCCCACTTGGCTTCAACAATTTTCTTTTCATTTAAAATAAAAATACATAGCAATCCGGGCAAAATTCACACACCAAATCAAAATGGGCCCTTAAACTTTACAAACATTTTCAGTGAAGACAAGAAAGGTGACAGTGCCTTATAAATGCAACATCATTCGATGCGTCCGTCCAATTTTAAGCTTGTCGATTTCACACGTGTTCGCGGATCCGCCTCATACACGTGTCAGAGATGGTCGGATTTTTTCCGTACCTTGTTAATGGACCCTAGCAGCCCCCCTCCAAGTTGAACAACAATTTGCTTTCCCTTTGCCACAAATTCCATTGGATTCTATTGTTTTTGCAAGCTAAAATATTTTTTTTTAAAATCCCTGAATTATTCTGATGTTTTAATAAATTTTTATATTTTAATTTTTATTTAAATAAATTTTATTTTAAATAAAAGAATAATTTTTGTTAAATTTTATTTAGATACAAATTAAAATTTAAAAATTTATTTATATATAAATGAAAAATGAAAAATTTATTTAAGTGTAAATTAAAATTTAAAATTTTATTTAAATATAATAAAAATATAAGAGTTTATTTAAGTAAAATTATAAAGTTTAAGAACTTTTTTATTATTTTAGCTTTTTTGTAACTTTTTGTGTCATTTTTATTTTATCAATTATGTGGTAAAATTATAATCGTTGTTTGAATTTTTTCCCTAATAAAAATGGAAAATTTTATATGTATGTAGTCTTATTTTTAATTTTTATTAATAATTTAATAAATATTTTTCAAAAAGGGATCACATTTCAATAAGATAAAAAAATTTGATATAAATCCGGAATATAATTCAATTGATGATTTATACAATCAACTTTAAAAAAAAAACATTCAACAAATTTAAAATTTAAATTCTGATTACTTAAAATTTTTTTTTATCATCTATCCCTGTTGTATTAAAAAAATTGTATAAGTTGTAATTTCATCCTTCAAAAAAAATCATTGAATTCTTGTCAATCTTACCATTTAGAAAATGTTATTACCCGTAATACAATGGAATTTACATAAAAAAATTTTTATCTCTAATGAATTTATATATATTTGAAGAAATGAGTACATTAATTATAAAAATTATACAAATACCAAAAAGATATTACTAGAAAGTTATAAATTCATCTTAACATAGGACACTCGTTAAAAAAATTTTCCAAAATTATTTTTCTCATCCAATTTATGTTAATCGAAAACGGAACAGTTTGGCTCAAATTAATTCACCATAGGCTGACAGATCAGAAAAGAAAGAATATGTAGTATTCTATTGAGTATATATATAATATAGTATTGTGATGTTGTTTGGTTTCTAATCCCATTTTTCTCAATGCATATCCCTTGGAATTCTGAAAAAAACACTAACTCATACGTACGTGTTATTATTCCATCCCAATATGTCTCATCCAAATCTTCCTATTTGAAGGAAATATTAACTTCTTTTTTTCTTTGTCTCAAAGGGGTTCTCTTGATCTAGTCATGCGGTGCATGCATGCCCCATGGCAAATGGATATTGCCAACATAAATCAAGCCTAGACATGGAATGGGTAGATAGATTCTCAGCTCGTTTTTGTAAAGAGAAATAAAAATTTTCAATCATATAAATTAAAATCGTATTTTAATTTAACAAAATGCGATTGACCATTTCAGTTTTATATAGAACAATAATTACAAAGTTATGTGGCTTCATGATTTTGTTTTGGATCAAGTTCAAAATGTTCCTCCACGCATGCAAAGAAATTAAAAACGTTAGAGAACTTTGTCGTCAATCGTCATCAATCTTTCTGATCAAGTGAATTTTTGTTTTTAGCTTCAATGTTTTCAACTTATTAGGTTAAGTGCAAAGAGAAAACATGTGGTTTAGTTACAACATTCATTTCGGGTTCATGCATATTCAGTACTTGAAAATAGATTTAATAATTAATATATTTACGTCATATAAAATATTAAAATTTTTGTATTCGTATTATATTTTATATGAAAATTATATGTTATAATTTATATCGACAAAAAATATAAAATATTTTTTTTTAATTTTATTAAATATATATATAAATATTGTTAAAATGTTAAATTGTATCAATTTTATATTTTATTTATGTATCATATTTATATCGTATTTTAAATTGTCACATCTATTTGAAGGAAATGTCATGGAATTAAAATTTATTCTAAGTAGTTTATGGAGTATCAAACACTCGGAATTAATAAAATTTCTCGTTATGATCCGAAAGAAAGATTCAGGAAAGCAAAAAGTTATAGCCCTGACTATATGATACGCAACTTAATTAGCTAGGGGATTAATTTTTCTTTTCAAAGAAAATGAGAAACTTTAGACTTCAATTTTGTTTCGAGTTTTGATCATAAACTCGGTTCAATAAAAGTTATCACGAAATTAAATCCAAGGCATGAAAGCTCTTTTGTTCTGGAGAGTTGAGATTTATAGTTCAAATTACTTCAAACTTTCATGGCGTAAAGGGGGTTTGGCTCGGTTGAATAACATATGGGTGCAGGGCCTGAAGGGCTCCTGCCGAAGTCAGGGGTTGTCCCCTTTGAATGGTTGCCCTAGAAAAACCTAGGCAACTTCGTTTTCTATTCACAATGCTAAAGAAATTGTGCAAACCGTCCCCGTGGCCGGCAGTAAAGGCAAGACAATTAGACAAATCAACAAGGAAGCTTTGGTTTTAAGTAGCACTCTGATGACCTCAATGGAACAAATTTTCGTCAAATTTTCCTTTTTCTTTTTCTCATTCTTCTCCCATCTAATGTCTACGATGCAGCTTAGCTATGTAAGATGTCATTGGATCAAACACTTTCGTTGTCCTTTGTCAGAAAAATTATCATCTTCTTCGAACAGAAAAGCCGACAGTTCAACGGGCATGAAACTTCAGCCCAAGATCCATTGAAAGTATCAAACTATAGCATGCCCTTAGGTAGATACAGACTAAACTCTCATACCGAATCTGAGCCCAATAGAAATGGCTTTCTTTCCCCTTCCTTCCCTTAACCCCCAACTCTAACAGGCAGATATATCTTAAAACGTTGGAAGTCAAAAACCTTTACGGATTGTACTTGATCTACCAGGCTAAATCTCAAGTTCAATCCATGAATATGAACATAATTTTAGTAATATTGCTCATTATTGAACATGCAGGTTCACTGTTTCCTGCATCAGAAGATTGAACATTGACCGAGAACGTTTGGTCTCGTACCCCCATTGAATCCAACAGCCAAATTTGCACTAATAATCAGCTGCAGTTAACAAAGACGCCAAAATGCCAGGCGGTTCTACTTTGTCAGGTTGACAGGTAAGTTCCATTAGGGTCAATGAAGATAATTGAACCAAGAAATGGAGAAGCTACAAGATCATAAGGTGCTCTGCACTTAAAAATGCAGCATCTGCCCGAAGTATCTTTTGCTTTTGAGCAATGGCCCAAAAAAAAAAAAAACTTGTCTGAGAATGTTGTCATTGCTCCAATTAAACACGATCATGTGGGCACAAAGTTTCTGAATTTCACAGATGACTTTGAGTCGGGTGTCGGCAAACTAAAAGGCCACCTCTTTTGGGTGATTTATTCCCCTGGCAATATTTCATGAAACCATGTGTAAATTGGCAGATTCAGTTGTTCCCTCACTGGCATTTTTTTTATTTAAAAAAATTCAAAAATAAATAGATTGTTCAACTCTTCATTTCAGATATATATCTTAATAACCTACAGATCATTGCAGGTCATGCATTCAAAATAATTTCAATAAATGATCACCAATAAAACTCTGAATCCATTCAAAATAATCCTAATAAATGATCACCGTAAAACTTAAACTCAATACCTAAAAAAACGAGCCTCACTCACTGACGTTTGATATGACCTATATTGCAAATGCTGACAAACATCTTAAGAACAAAAAATTGTAGTTTTTACTTTGCACATTTGTTTGTAAAGCTTGTTCTCAAAAGATTTGAAATGAATTTCTAACAATCTTTTCATGTTAAATGCAATATTTGATTATCAATATGATTAGTGTTTTCAATGTATTGAACATTATAAACAGAATCTAAAATGATTTGGATGATTTTCTATGTTAATCTCCATCAGAAATCCCCAAATGTTTGCAAATCCATGAAAATTGAATGGAGACGCTTGAAACCTGATGCAATGTACATTGTCAAAGAACCCTAGTCGCACAAACAAACAGCCCACTGCCCCACCGATGAATCGATTGAACTCAATCCTGCTTGTGTAGTTGGAACAAGGCATGCACCTCTCCGCGTGAGCAAATTTCACTTGTCTTAGATGGATGTGTTCCAAGGATTTATTGGGGTTTGAAAATCATTTACTAATCTGCCAGAATATTGAATATTGACCATATTCTAAATCGGAAACGATGATGAACGTTCCATCTGAAGAATCTTAGATAGAGTGAAAACCACTACATTGACCACCTAAAAGTTACAGCTACTGCAACATCTACCAAGAATTCATTCACAAGAAACTTAAAGGAAGAAAACTTTAACAAGCATCAAATTTATGATTCACAATCACCGTTACATCAATAGTTTCTTTTGAACGATGACTTTCTTCAACAGGTAACTGCCATAACTGTAAATGCATACAAATTTCAACACTTTTCAACAGCAAATATATCTTCTTTGAAGCAGTTGCTACCAGAAATCTCAAGGAACTGCTAATGGGTATTGTGGATTAATTTCATGAACACCGTATAATTTATAGAATGGAAATTTAGACCCTTCCAACCTTTTCGTTTTCAAAAGAACTTTAAATTACATTAAACATAAAAGAAAACAAAACGGGTTACAAAAGATGAGCATGAGAAATCCGAGAAGAAAATGCAATCGGGATTTCATCTAGTTACAAACCTGTTTATAGGATATTTCCCTTTCTAAATCAGCGAATGTTCATCAAATGCTAATGAAACAAACAAAGTTACCATACATTACACCAAAACAAGAAACGGTAACATGAATTTATAAATATCAAAGTCAACCTTACATACATCACACAAACCTAACCAGTTAAGCAGAGCTAAATTATATCAGTGTATGGAATCTATGTTCTTACTGAGCTCCTCCAGCTTCTTCATCCTCAACCTCTCACTTTCACTCACCAGCTGTTCAATCGATAAAAACAGATAACAACAAGGTGAGATCAGTCACAAGAAACAAGAAATTTACTTGCTTTGTAGCTTTAAGTTCGTTTTGACATTACAATATAAAAACTAACCTCCATCAGTTTTGTAATTAGCTGTACTTTTTCCTTGTTCTTTTCGTTAAATGCATCAAGGGCTTCCTTGTACTCCCTTTCCTGTAACATATTTCAATAACCTGAACTTAGCGGCCTGATGCAATCCTTCACAGATGATATTATAGCTTCCAGGTAATTGATAATATACAATCAAAATTGATTGAAACTTTCAATAGCTTCAAAGTTAGGTAAAGTTGTACCTTTTTCTGGCAGGTTTGCCCAAGTGGCTTCAATTCTTTGTTAACTACATCAATCTTCTTTCTGACCAAAGAAACTTCCTTCCTCATTGGATCTGCAAGTGCTTCAAGCTCCTGATAGATTTACATAGTTTTATTTGAAATGAGAAACAGTAGTAATATTATTATCATTTGCAATTACAGCCCTCGGGCTGAAATTATAAAAGTCAAAACAAAAACTTTTTGTATGTTCTAAAATTACAAAATAGTAAGATATATGAGCTATTAATTAACTTGAGTATTGTTTTTTGCAAAAAGATGTAAACCCCAAAATTAACTGACAATTTCTTTTTTGTATTAAAACCTTTAACTGCAAATCTGACAGATAAAATTCTTATAATTTCTTAAAGAAATGCATTATAAATACATCTTTTTCTTTCTACTAAACAATTGATGGGGAAACAAACTCATTTTTCACAAGGAATAGACATCAAAAGGCTAAACCCGAACACCCTCTTTCAGAATTTCAAATCCATGCCCAGATCATGAATTTTTATCACTATGTCAACCTCTGAACTCAATATTTTGCAGAAATTGACCAAAAAGAAAACAAAAAAAAAGGAACTTATTTGAAATAAAGAGCCTTTAAACATTACAAATTTCACATTTCCAAGTCAAGCTAGAAAAAAAATATACAAGTCAAAATCAAGAGAAAAAAATAGCTTAGCCTGTAAGGTAACATGGGTACAAGCCAAAAGAAAAAAAGAAGCAAACTTTCTTTGAACATACCTCACGAATGACGGCCAAACGCTTTGTTTCCTCTTCAACACGGCCTAACTGAAGCTGAACCTTTTCTCTAACCTCCATCTTCTTCCTCTCAATCTCTTCTTCTTTGGCCCTGAAAGTGGAAAGTGCAGACCTTGAGATCTCTTCCTCTTCCTTAGACATGTGGCTGCTAAAGCTGAGACTCCCAGAGTTTTGAACCATCAACTGGTTTTGCTGCTGAGGCTGTTGCTCAGTCTGCATCATCTTGCCTAGCTCCAGTTTCTTCTCTGAAAGAAAAAAAAAAAAAAAGCTTCTTCCTCGAATTCCTCTCTTTATTATCTTCTTGCTCTTCTTTTTTTTTTCTCTTTCTTTTGCTTTTGCTTTGAAATAGTTTCTTTTGTTTCTCTCTCTCTCTTCTATGTGCTTATAAACAAGGATGACTTTTTAAAGTTTTTATTTAATTTATTTTTATTAAAGCTTTTTTGTGAACCAAAATATTCAGGAGTACCAGTAAAAAGATAATGCAAATTTTTCTAAAAAATAATTAACCCAAATAAAAAAAGAAAAGCAGAAGCTGAAATGACCCAACTGCCAACCACTGATAAAGGAAATGGAGGATTTTCAACTTTACTGAATGAAGAATGTGTCCCTTGAAAATTTAAAACCCTGCCTACACGATGGTAAATGAACCCCACATGAAAAACGCCTTCACAATTTCAAAACGTTCACCTCAAATCTTATACTAGGGGACTGTACCCTAAAAAATACTTCGATTTTATAAATGCAGCAAAAATTTTCTCCGGAAAATGGCTTCAGTACTTTTGCCCCTCTCATACCAACCCAGATTTTATCCTTTTCTCTGTTTTTGGTGAAAAAAATTGTTCCATAGTATGATGCAAATGTACAATTTCTTTATAAGTTTTTTTAGAATTTGCAAAATGATTTTCATTTGGAATAGCATTGACGAGAGATCATCGATCTATCAAATTTGGTATGAACTTAAAAAATTCATTCAATCCATCTAAATCAAAACTCGATACAACTCAATTTAATCATAAAGAATTAATAATTTAAATTGGTCTAACTGAAATAAAAAACAATTCGAAATTAACTTTAAATTATTAATATACACTTGCTTGTTTCTTACCTCTACCAAAATCAGAACTTGTTGGAGGGTGCAGATGGGACCTTTTCTTGGACAAGAATGTGAATTTCTTATTTGTAGGTAGACAGGCAACGTCAACCATCCACATTGGATGACTGACACAAGGACTTAACAAATTTTTTCCTTTCTTAAGATTGAATTTAATCATAGATATTAAAAACATATAATTACATTTTTACATGCATGTTGATGTTTTTGTATAATGGAAAGACTAACGAAAATGATTTGTCACGTAATCTTTCAGTTAGGATATATTAGTGGATTATTCCAAAAAAAAAAAAAGAGGATATATTAGTGGACTGTGAGTAAAATGTCTTTTGATCATGATATTGATTTTTTTTTTTTTGCTTTTTTTTTTCATTTTTTATGTGTAATTGAAGCTATTAAAAATAAATATATAAAAACCAATCATAGGGTAAATAGCAAATTTTCTAGTTCTGTTAGAATATTATTGCTATCAATTCAACTGTAGTTTTTATGGTTTTCAGTGTACATATTTGATAAAAACTAAAAATTATTTTTATTTTTTGTGTTTTAAATAACGATATAAATTAAGGGTAAGAAATCAAAATTTAATTTAAAATTATAATGTTTAGTTTCATTTGGATCAAGTTTTTTTATTTGATTCGAATCAATATTAAATATTAAATTTATATATTATGTTTAAATCGAATTTTAAATCGGAATATGAAAAATTTTTTAAAAAATCAAACTAAATTATATGTTTTTATTAATTTTAATATATTTTAAAAATTCTTATAAAGTAAAAATAATTATTTTATATAAAAATATATATAAATTTATTAAAAATATTATTAAAATAATATATAAAAAAAATAATTTAATTTAAAAAATCAATGAACAAAATTAAATTAATTAAATTCATTTTAGATCAATTTTTAAAAAATAATTTTAATTTTAAAAATTTATAATATTATACATTATAAAAAATCGAATCCAATGTGATTCGATTCAAAATGTTACCACCTCTAATAAAAATTATAATATAATAATTTTATATTTAATATAAAATAAATATGTTATAAATACATAAACTATTAAATTTAATTTTAAAAAGATCAGGATGAATAAATGACCAGTCTCTGCTTGAAGACTAGGCACTTAATTTAAAGTAAAGGAAGGTTCGGTAATGGGTGGATCAGAAAGGAGTAACCCACAAAATAACCACACCACACAAAGTAGAGGATAAGAGATATGGCCATTGACAGCCCCTTTTGACAAAGCAAGAGTCTCCTCTTTTAATTGTTTTTCTCTTTGTTTATTCCCTTTTAATTCTGGATTTTTCCTCAAAAAAATATTTCTAATTTTAATATCACGCTTTTTATATTTATATTATTATCTGTTTTTTTTTAATATTTTACTTGGATGCTAATAAATTGGCATGATTGAGTCAAAGTTGTCCTTTAAAATATTCTAAAACGACACAATCACAATTAATGGATTTCTAACCTTTTTTTTGTTCTCTCTTTCTTTTTCCCTGTGGAAGATGGCGTCTGGGGGACCAGATTTTCTCATCAATTGACAACTCCAAAGTCGAAACAAAACGCAAACCAAACAAAGGGGAAAAATAAAAATCCCATTCAACTTAAACGGTCAGGACCAGGATCATGAGATCAAAACTGATTTTGGGCCTAGGAATCTCCTGGTGGAGCCATCCAACGGTTGCCATTGAAGCACACCCATTAACGTCACTGGCCTGCAACCTGGACTTTTCATTTTTTGAGGATGACAATAAATATTATACTATTAATTGTAATAATTATCAGTAATAAAAAAGTATAGCAACGATGGCTACTTCCACCTAACGGCAGCACAAGCATTTTGATTAAGGGCGTCTTTCGAAGGTGATAATGATTTGCTGCCTGTCAGACCACCTTGGCATCTCAAATTCTCTTTGTTTTTTTTTTTTCTCCGGCAGGGAATGAAACATTTTTGGGTCTAGGAAAATCTCTAATATGTCAATGTCTTGGTGTCTTGTAGGAGTATGTATCTTTCTTTAAGAATCTTGCGAAGTAGGGTTACAGTAATGGCAATGTCCAACTGTTTCTTTTAGATTCTCACCTCAGGTTATTATGATTGGCTTTTCAGTGTTAAATTTTGTATTTAGTTCAGATACTTGAGAAAATAATTTTGTTTTAATGGTTAATCATATAGTTTAAGATATTGCATTTGAAAGAAAGAAAGAAAAAAAAAAAAAGAGTCTGAAGCACAGCCAACAAGCTCTGGCATTGGCCTGGGGGTGATGTGATTTAATTTTCATTTAAATTTTACCACACTTATCATTAATTAAATTTAAATGTGAATTTTAATAAAATTAAGATAACATAAATTTTTTATTAAATTTTTTAATCATAATTATAATAATAATTATTATTATTTTTAATTTCACTATAATCATTCTCATAGATTATCTTTAATGTTTCTTTTGTTTTATTGTAATCAATGTATCTTCAACCAAATTATAATTATTTTCATTAACATTGAAAGCAAATCAATAAGTTCAGAATTACTTATATACTTACATGTCAATATGAATTCATGAGATTGATTTACCAATGCTTCATGAGTCAACTGTTGAATGCCTATTTCTCCTAAGAATCTTGTCGATTACGCAAGAAAAAGTAATTGCTTGATGACTGAGCTTCGTATTCACATCAAGGGTGGCCTGGATTGACTGATCTTCCTTGGGAAGACAGATGAATTACAGAACATGCCTCTAAATATTTAGGAGTCTTTAGTTCGTAAATTTTTATATGTCGAAGAAAAATTGATATTGAAAGAAAATATATGATTATTAAATTTTGTTAATTTATGGATATAAGATTTTTATATTTAATTTAAAAGAATGTAAGTTATTTAATAAAATTTTTATTATATTATTATTGATGGTACGTGAATAATAAGTGATATTAATAATATCTTATAACTAGTTATATTTATATTTCTTATTTATTTATGTACTATGTTAAATTATTTATTTAATTATTTGATATTTATAAAATTAATTCATAATTGCAAATTATTAAAAATATTTTTTTTGGTTTTTTTGCCTTGTTGAAATTTTTTTAATGTAAAAGATTACATTTTTCTGAAACTCAAGAGTTAAAAGAAAAAATATATATATTTTCAATAAAGATTATATTTTTAATCTTAAAAACATAATTTTTGTTGAAATAAAATTTTTTTTATTTATTTAACATGTTTAATTATTTATTTATTTACTTTTTTAACATGTAAATTATTTATTTAATATTCATGAAGTTAATAAATTACTAAATTATTAAAAAACTTTTTGATATTTTTTCTTTTTTAAGTTTTATAATGTAAAAGGTTACGTTTTTTTCCAAAAAAAGGTAATCTTTTATGATAAAGATACATTTTCTTTTTAAAAAGTAGTCCTTTATCATTCAAAGACAATTTTTTAAAAACAAAATCATGATATTTATACTTAAGACTTCGTTTTTAATTTAAAAAATATAATTTTTGTTAAAACTTAAAAACTAAAAAAAAAATTTTATAATATATTTTTTATAAAGGTTATGTTTAATAATGTAATTTTTGTTGAAACCCATGAAGTAATAAAAATAAAATTTTTATTTATTTTATATGTTAAATTATTTATTTATTTATTTAACATATAAATAATTTATTTAATATTTATAAAATTAATAAAGAATTAAAAATTACAAAAAATATATATTTTTGCCATATTGAGTTTTTTTTTTTTTATGTAAAAGATTACTTTTTTTCACAAAAAACACGTAGTTTTTATACGATAAAAGATTATATTTTTAAGATAAAAATTATCTTTTAATTTTAAAAACATAATTTTTGTTAAAACCAAAGTGTTAAAAGAAAAAATAAAATTTTTATAATATAATTTCAACAAAGATGCATGCTTTTAATTTTTAAATTTTAGTATTTGTTGAAACCCAAAGAGTAATAAAAATAAAATTTTTACAATATATTTTCAATAAAAATAATGTTTAAAATTTAAAAAAGTAATTTTATTTGAAACTATAAAATTTTGAAAAATAAATTTATTTTTCAAAATTCTATATTTTAAAGATAAACTATGTTTTTATCTAAAAAAAGTAATTTTTCTTGAAATTATATAATGTTGAAAAAATAAATTTTTAATCAATTAAAACTAAAAATTTTAATTATAATCCACAAAATTGTTTAACATATTTTAATTTCAAATAATTTAATATTATTTAAAAATATACATATA